CACCGGGGATTTGACAAACTGCACTTGAGGTAGACTGGATTACGTAAGAGAAATGAACAGCCGTGTAAATTTCAGAATTGTAAGCCACTGCCATTTGGGCTGAAACGGCGGGACTGACCCTTGAATTGAGAGAGGCTTGAATGGATTTGGAGAATTAGGAACCTTCCCAAAGACAAGAATCTTTGGTTTCCAATGTGTACATTTGGGACCAACCCAACCTTGGGGTTCAGCTGAATGTTAGATTACTCCGTGGTGCCAGTGTATTGTGCAAAATTGGTGCAATGAACGCGGAAAAATGAGAAAATGCATCTCTTGTTCATCTTTTTCATCCACAATTGTTTTTAAAAGGGATACTTCACCCCAAAATGAACATTCTGTCATCATTTACCCACCTTAACCTGCATGATTTTCTTTCTTTTATTTTTCATGAAATGAAAGTCACTTGGGTCCAAAAGAACTCTGGATCCCACTGACTTTCATTGTGTGGACTAAAAAACGCTGAAGCATTTTTCAAAGTATCTTCTATTGCGTTCTACAGAAAGGTATACAGGTTTGGAGTGACACAAGGGTGAGTAAATGATGACAAAACGTTTATTTAATAACAGAACACTGCACCAGTCCAACGCAATTTGCATAATATTTAATCTAGGCTCCCGTAAACCAGTCAAAGAGGAGCCCAACAATGCGTAATAATGAATTGCAGAGACTCTTTATGCAAGACAATGAGAGGCAGCGAGCAGCCGCAAGTGTTGAACCCCGACTAAATCTCTTTCTCTGGCCCAACGGAGCCCCTCCATCAGCCCAACGCGCCAGATATCGCAACAGACATCCCCCTCAGGTGCAATAATGTCACAGTCCATTAATCTTCTCAAACTTCAGGCCCTGATCCTGGGAGCCCAGTCCATGCTAATCCCTTATTAATGTGGCAAATGAACCTGTGGAGAAAGAACTACTCCCTCTGGCCCTTCACCATCACAATGCAGAGTCTATTACCGCCTTCCCCCGTACCGTCCCGAGTCTCTACTGTTTGCATTAGGATGTCCATTCATTGAAGCATAAAGCCACTTGAGAGAGGCTTGAACACACACACACACACATCTCTTCATTCCACATATTTTTCACTCTGTGCCCTCGCTAGTAACCTTTGTCTAGCTCACATATGGCGGAGTGCGAGCCTGATGCATGTGTAATCTCTTAAGATTCAATGCTCAAGTCAGCGACCAGACACTTTTGTTTCATTTTGGTTTTGTCTTAGCTCGTTGAGACTCTCAGGAAAGGCGATGCGTACAGATTCCTTCTATTATGTGACAGTGGAAAAGACCTAACTGCGCTCTGCTTTGCCAGATTAGAGGAACTCTCGGCAACAGAGAAAACAGTGCATGAGAGACAATCATTTGGTCTCTAAAAACAGTCCAGCGGAATCTCTCGGTCTGATTGCTTCCTAATCCAAACGGAATAACCGCATCACTTCGGAATAATTGCAAGTCATTATTGCTAGCACTCACCGGTAGAGCTGTTAGGCTCCTCTCAGGGCTCGGATACATATGAATGAGGCTCTCTATAAGAATCTATATTCATGGACAAAGATCTGATAATAAACCTGAATCTGATAGACATGATGTAAGTGAAATTCTTGATGTGAAATCTGAGCAGGTATGAGTATGAGCAGAGACTCTCCAGCATGAAGCGCAAACGCTCTTCTAAATGCTTGCATGAGTTCGGTTTGCTATGAGCAGTCACTTCCCAGTTTAATTTCTCCAACTGAGTTTATTAATCAGGCTTGTTGAGGAGTTTTCCCGCAGAGCGGAGTCTTGCACACTATGCATGCACGCTTAATCAATAACCTAAATGTTTCATGCACTTCGTAATAGACTTTTTAATGTGCCTCCATCCTGAGAAGCTATTGAACCATGATGTGTGCGTGTGTGTTTGCCCCATGCAATAAAAAAACTACAAATGAGAAATAAATGGCCTACTCTGATTATTTTGCAATAAAGGCTGTTCATCAATGAGTTCTTTGGAAGGTGAGTGATTTGTATCTGTTGTATATTGAATTTCCCTCTCAAAAGCATAGTTAAGTGACAGAGAAATGGGCAAGGAATGATACACATTGATTCCTGGAAATTTTCCTACAATATATTTCATTATCAGAAGCAGCGTCGAAACAATTGGAAAGTCGAGAGGACATATTATTGCACTTATAAATCATTTTGCCTCATGACTAGTAATTATGTGACTTGATAAGTTTCTATGGTTTAAAGAGTAGAGCATGGCACTAGCAAGGTCATGAGTTTAATTTCAAGGGAATGCATGAACTGAAGAATTGTAAGCGTAGAATGCAATGTAAGCTTGCTTTGGATAAATGCATTAACACCCAATGAATCGCTCATGCAACCAATGCTTCTGCTTAGTCTTAAAGGGCCAGTTCTCCCCAAAATTAAACTTCTGTCATCATTTACTCAGCCCCATGTCATTCCAAACCTGTATGACGTCCTTTCTTCTGTGGTGCATAAAAGAAGACGTTTTGAAAAATGTTGGGATGAAAAAAAAGACACTGGACCCTGTTGACTTTTCTCCTTTTGTGTTCCACAGAAGAATAAATGCATAAAGGAATGACATGAGGGTGAGTAAATGATGACAGAATTTCATTTTGGGGTGAACTATCCCTTTAAAGCTGTAGTTTTACACAGCCACCTACATTTTTTTTCATTGCACTGCGGAGAAGCAGACGGAAAATGGTAATGTTTGCTGCACCCTTGACTATCAGGCAAGTTTGCATGTGCTGATTGTTGTTTTGCACTGCTTCAGTTCAGTTGGTGAACAGAAAGGCCAAGTGTTAATTGCCCTATGGCTTTCAGAAGAGGTTTTGGGTGCCATAATAAGCTTTCCACTGATGTGCCTCTAGCTGTGCTAACTAGCTCTGCATGGAGGCTGCCCCAGTATCTATGAGCTTTAGAGAGGAAACGCACAGTCAATGGCCTTTAAAGAATCGAGACAGAGACACAAAGGGCAACCCCTGTTCAAACACAGACCCCTCTGGACTGAGCGAACACCACATTTCACAGTGTGGTACAATCCATCTACAGCGTTGACAGGCATCTGTCTCTGCGCTTACAGTGGCGGCTATTGTTTTGGGTCACTGAGTCATTCGTTAAGGCATGTACAGCACGACAGCATGGTTCCCAATAGGACAGTAGCTGCAGAGGCCGCTCTCTTGGCCTGGATTGCAGTTCATTATGTAATCTGTCGTTCTACATTGGTGTGCTCCTTTCTTTCTCCCTACAATGCAAACCTTAGACAGGAAGAAGGAAAGAGAATGCAATGAATTGCTTTGCATATCCAAAATCTCATTGAAAAACCTTTTGAAATGCTTCATCACACTCATACAAAATTATCCCCTGAAGTGAACTAAATCTGACAAAACTTTTCATTGGGTGTCCTTAATTGGAAAAGCAATTCATACAAAGAAAACAATGATTATTTTTATTTTAAAAATGCTAATGTTTTCTTCTAGGGCGACAGGCTGCAGTAATTACAGTATAATTGACCCTAACATATAAAAAAAATAAATAAAAGCATATAGTTGGACCTCAGTTAGAGACAGTATCCAAATATAGTTTAAATACATATATATTTAAATATAGTCTCTAAACATTTATGTTTGTGAGTGTGTTGGTCTACTTTGCTATACTTTGGGCGTTAATTGTCCCCAGAAGTTGAAAAAAATGTTTTAAAGTGAACTAAAAAATAATTCATAACTCATAAATAAGGTACAAATATTTAGATTTCAATTTTAAATAAACACAACTAAATAAAAGCACAAAATTATATATATTCAATTGGGGAAAAAGCATCCATGAATAAACAACTAAAAAAAAAAAACAGTTAGTCTGTAGTAATAATTAGTATCATAATTACAACAGAATTAAAACAGAAGTCCTTATTTAGATAGCTAAGTAAACAAGTGTTTATGTGTTTGTTCTCCAACGGTCAGACCTTATCTTATAAATCTCTAACAGCCATTACCAATCTGTTGTGTATTCAGTCCATCATTAGACATGAGCTGTTTACTGAGAGAGATGCTTCCATACACACAAAAGTACACGCACACAAACACACACACAGACAAAAGGGCAAGGGAAAGGCAAGGAGACAGAGAGAGACGTAAAGTGAGTGAGAGATAGAGAGAGAGAGTGAATGAGAGAGAGCGACAGAGAGAGAACGAGTAACTGCCCCCCACTTCTTCACCATGCATTACAGACACACACACACACACACACTGCATGTTGGCCCATAGCCAGAATATGCCATACAGAACAACAGTGCCACCTAAAGGTAATATTCCCCTCCCTCCCTCCCTCAACTATCTCTCATCATCTGGGTTTCATACTACGAGATGCTGTGCTTGGCAACTCGCTTTTGTGATTTCGCTTCATACAGTAGAATTGTCTTTGAGAAATATGCACAGCTACCGAAAGGGAATTCTGTTCTATACTAAATATCTGAGACAGTTTATTGGTTTAGTATTTGGATACCATTGGATTTAATGAACCAGGAGATAATGTTTAATGTTGTGTGCACACATTTTCTCTATTAGTAGATTAACTGCAGTCCAAGATTAATTAAGGAACTGGTATCATAGAGAATGCTAATTAACAAATGCAGAAAAATAAGAACAAGATTGAATTTGAGTGGTTACTCATACAAGTGATGGTTTGTTTGATAATGCCTAGAGTCAAATTAATTTCTTCCACAAAAGAGTTTGGATGTCGAAATGAGAAAATGGTGATCGAAGTAGACAGGCGAGAAAAAAATGTTTCTTTCACAAACTCTCAGAACATTGCATCTTTGAACCATGACAGAGCAGTGAAATTAAACTGAATCTAGCCTTGTGGGATTCATAGGAAAAGTTGGATTCATTTTGAATCTCACCCTTTAAACCAACTGCTTATCCAGCACTTGTTTCAAGTAGAGGTTTATAAATTAAAAAAGAAAAACACAGGTTTGAAGGTGGTAGAAGGGGTGGCATTCCGATCAAAGCGTCCAATCCCGGGCTCCTCGAGCTCAGCCGGGAGACTGATGGTTCCGTTTATGGGTTCGTGGGCAGAGTCGTCGGGTTTGTTCTCCTCGATGGTTACAAAGTTCAAGAGGGAGCTCTTTGGCGACTTCCTCTTTTTGCGCTTCTTCTTCTTGTTTTGCTTGTTCTCCTGGTTGGGGGACATCCACTCTGCACCCTGCTTCTTTCTCTGGGCCGCCTTGAACTGTGAGGCATGTCGGCAGCGCACCAGAACTGTTATGAAGATGACCACGATCACTACCATAGCGCCTGTCACGATGGCAATTATGGTTTTGAGGTTGTCAACGTTCTGATAAGTCTCACTGCTCTCGCCGATGTTCCTATCCAGTGGCGTTTCCATTGTCCGACGGATGAGGTCATGTATGTATGAGGAATTTCCAACCGTGTCATTTACATACAGGAAAACAAGGACAAGAGTGTGCAGGGACTTTGGATAGCCGAGGTCACTGATGTTGACCACTAGCCTATGGAGGCCAATGTCTGCAACCGTGGGTTTCTCCTCTAACGTAATGTTTCCCGTTACAGGGTCAATTCTGAAAAGACTTCTTCCGTTACCACTCACAATAGTATACTTGAGTTCTGCATTCATACCCGTATCGCCATCTACTGCAAACACCTCGGCCACAACCGATCCTGGAATCGCAGACAGTGGCACTAGCTTGAAAGAGGTGTTTGATGGCGGGTAGATGACGATGGGGGGGTTATCGTTGACATCAATGACATTGATGGTCACCTTGGCAGCTGATGAACATGGGGGGCTTCCGTTGTCCACAGCTCTGACGTCAAAGGTGTAGGAGCTTTGCTGCTCTCGGTCAAAGGAAACGTTAGACTTTATGACTCCAGAATCTGGGTCAAGGATGAAGTTCTCATTATCGTTAAGGATCGAGAGTCTCACCACAGCGTTCTCACCAGCATCTGCATCTGTGACTGTGATTACTCCAACTGTACTATATTTAGGCAGGTTCTCTGACACAAAGAACTGAAAGTGGTTGTGTGTAAATTTAGGGGTATTGTCGTTCTCGTCCAGTATGGTCACTATGACTGCAGCTTGACTCTGCAGAGCTCTGGTGCCATTGTCCCTAGCGGTGACCGTAAAGAGGAATCGCTCTTGTTCCTCCCTATCAAACACCCTGGATGCGGTTAGCACTCCTGTTTTGCGGTCAAGATCAAAGAATGATGCGTTGGGTCCAAGCTGGTAGACAATCTCTGCATTCCGTCCACTGTCCTCATCTGTGGCGCTGATGGTTGTCAGGAACATGTCACGTTGGTTGTTCTCCATGACAGCCAGCTCAATGACAGGCTGGGTGAAAATGGGTGGATTGTCATTCTCATCCTCCAGCCGTACTCTGACCAGGGCGGTCTGGTTCAGACTAGGTTTTCCAGAGTCAGAAGCAACAATCTTGAAGATGTACTCCTTGGTTCCTTCATAATCAAGCAGTGCAGATGTTTCTAACAAATACTGGTTATCATAAACTGCTTTGAGGTGAAATGGAACATCTTTTTCAATGAAGCAAATCACCTTGCCATTGACATCTGTGTCTTTGTCAGATACAGTAATGAGAGCGATCTTGGTATTTATTGGATCTTTTTCAGAAAGCATTACAGTACCATTAGTTGGACTGATGATGTATCTCAAGTCGATGTTTGGAGCGTTGTCATTCACATCTGTCACATTGATAGTGACGGTGGCTCTTGCTGGACTCGAGCTTCCATCGCTGGCTAGTACTGTGAGCTTATGAATGGCGGTCTCCTCTCTATCAAGCGGCCTTTGAACTGTTATGAGCCCAGTGGTGGAGTTCAAAGCAAAAAGTCTCCGTGTTGCTGGAGACACCTGGGTCCCAAACATGTATTTTATTTCTGCATTGGCTCCCACGTCTGCATCAGTGGCTTGCAACTGAACTACAGATGTGCCGACGGGAGAATTTTCCGGGATGTGGACTTCGATTTGGCTTTCTTTGAAGACAGGCCGGTTATCATTAACATCAGTGACGGTCACCTGTAAAATGGCAGTGCTGGATTTTTGTGGGTTCCCCCCATCCTCCACTTTGACTTTCATCACATAAGTATCTTTCTGTTCTCTATCTAAATTCTGCTGAACGATAAGCTGAGGCCATTTCTCACCCTCTGGTGTCTCCACAATATCCAAACCGAAGGCGCTCTGGCCGTTCAACAGCTCATATTTGTGTACGCTATTGGGTCCGGTATCTGGATCGGTGGCAGAGGGAATGGCAAAGCGGCTGTTGATGAGTGTGTTTTCCGGAATTGAAATGTTGATCACAGGCGAGGGAAACATGGGGGAATTGTCATTGGTGTCTTTGACAATGATTTTAATTTTGATTAATCTGAAGTAGTCATTGGGCAAAATGACCACCTCAATTTCAAAAGAGCACTCGCTGTCTTCAAAAGAGGGGCCGGGACAGAGTTTCTCCCTGTCGATACGGTTGGAGGTGGTAAAGATTTCTCCTGTATTGCTCATCACTCTAAGTAGCGGGGTGTCACCTGCTTTCGACACAAGTCGGTAAACCAGATTACTGGTAACCCCGGTGGCAGAGCTCATATGGGAGATGTTCAAGTCCTTTGGAATGTTTCCAATAAGAACATTCTCCTGTAGCTCTTCTCGAATAGGGTAAATGAGCTCTTGGGCTATGGTGGGATCTAACCAGAAACAAGCAACTAATGTTGCCAACAAGAAAAAATCCCTTAAATCCATGACAGCAGTTAACGCGTGTTCCCGCTGCTTTAATTCAAACAGTTGTCTCCATATGGTGTTGTCAGAGCCAAGGTTTCACAGAGCCTTACATTTGTAGATAAAGAGCAGCCAAACACGACCCTACAACACACAACATTATAATATGTTACAATGAATTCCATAATACTCAACACTCAAGACAAAGAACCAACAAATGGTCCATCCAAATCAACGTAATTAAAAATCAAGCAATAAGTGTTTATAGTCTGGTTTATAGTAATGCTTAATAAAGGTGGCAATGCATTCTAGTTAGAATTCTCAAATGCATTCTAACCACCACTACAGCCTGCTTTTCACTGTAATCATTTCCCTGTGCATACACAGAGAGGCTCTAGATAAAATAATGCAGCCAGTCAAGCACTCAGCATCATCTTACAAGACATTTCACATAAAATGTCTCTAATGTCATCTCCTTCAAAGTTACACACCATGCATTTGGGATTTAATGTCATTACTATTTTATTGCGATTAAATAGCATATGCACGAGACGTGACAGTGTTTTAAACAAGACAGTACATAAATGCTGCATGCAAACCCGTTTGGGTGTATGCATGCGTTCTTACCTCGGTTCTCTGTGAGCTCGCTCATACGGAGGTTACCAATTCGCGCACATAGTGACAAATCCGTTCGACCAGTCAGAAAAATTATCTGACTTAAGTATAATATTAGGATATCCGTATTGATCACTGCTTTGAGGACTAGGTCAGTGAATACTTTAGTATTTTAGTCGTGGAAAAAAAATCCAATTCAAAGCACAGCTGGTTTTGGGGGGAAATGTTGATTTAACAGCAATCAATCAGACAATCTTTATGAACTTTCCCCCGCAGATCAGCGTGCGGTCGGGGACGCGCGGAATGCGGTGGTCGGTGATGAATCAGGTGATCCACGCGCGCGTTAACGGTCATTCCGCATTACCGGAGAAGCCCTTATGAATCGCACCTGTTCTGCTCAAATATCAACATAAACTATCCCATCAGCGAAAAAGAGTAAAGTTCAAATGCGATCGGATCATTCCCCTCTCAGTCCTCATTCAGAAAGAAAATCCACGGCTTCTGTCCCGGTGTCTTGTGCGTGATTCGCCGCGCACACCTGAATGAGAAAAAGTCCAAACGGTGGGATGTGTTGGGATGCTTATCTTCGTTCTCTCCTCTTCCCGAGACTGAATTTCTCACACTAACTCTGAGTATGCCCACAGGGGAACGCCCCCTCGGCTGCTGATTGGTCCGTCTCTTCATTAACGTCGCAGTGAGGGGAGGGGGAATAATGTGATTGGTTAGAATTAACGTCACTCACGCGCGCTGCTGAGACGGAGCGAAATGCCTCAGAAAGACTCTGCGGGCTGCGGGTTGAGGAGGTTCGATGTACGGTTCCATTTCACCTCATTAGCGCATAAGATCATTTCATGTATTTGTTTACAGCATTTTGGTGTCAAATAACCCAAACACAAACCGAAAATGTGTTGTCACTTGTGACCGACAGTTATTTGGAGTATTAGAGAGTGCGGCATCCAATAAGCGTTTCAAAACAGATAAAGTCTGCTGGACTGATGCAAATGAGAAGTGTATACTTAAAGCTATGCTTGTGTCAGGTATTAAGTAGGTAGGAATGTTAGCTTCACCGTTTAATCGTGTATAGCCTGATCGTTAATACGGAAACATATTTGAATTGTATCAACAAAGTTAGTTTTAATGAACTTTAAACCATCATGTGGCAGTTCATTGTACCACTTGTGTCATCAGTAACGTTACATTTTACAGCATTAAACAGATTGTATAGGCTCGAATAGGTTGGTATATTAACAAACAGTAAACATACGTTGGCACAAACTGTTTGAAACGGTAAAATATAATCACCAAAATGCTTCCCATAGCTAATGCTCTGTCACTGAGTGACTATGTGATCTTGACAGCAAAATTCTGTTTATAAAGTATATGAAGATACGTCTCGATTAAAAGGTATTCAATTGTGAAATTCAGCAGCATAGCAATTTTTTTTTTCTGTTAGAAATGGTAATAAGGTTTAAATATGTTTAATAAAAACTATATGCCCCGACCTAACATCTTCTGATCTATTTTATTCAAGGTTTATTAGACTGGATGTCTGAAGAGAGATGGACACCATCAGGAAAGCGGCGCGTGCTTAGTTGAGTTGCGGTGAACAGCACCATCTAGAGGCGAACACGAGACGAATGCGCTTACCTCTCATCTCATACACTGAGCTAAAGTGGGACGACACTCCTGTCGAGGTTCCAGGTGTGTGTGTGTGTGAGAGAGAGAGAGAGAGAGAGAGAGCAAAAGCTTTGTTAGGTCAAAGAGGGAGGGACTGAAGAGCCAGTCAGGTTCTTGGAAATTATTATCAGCTTTTTCTTCCACTGACATATCAAGGGATGGAAAGATTAAAAGGAAAAAAGGGAGATACAGGAGTAAAGAAGGTATTTTTGGCTGGCTGACAACCTGGGCCAATCTATCATCCCTCAACATTCCTCAAACTCAAGAACTGTGACTCAAGAATAACGGCAGTTAGTAAACATATGTACATCATACTGTATAGTATGCCTACATTAGCATTTTCCCATCAAATATATTGAATATTTTTACTAATAAGAATGGTTTTAAAAAACTGTATTAGTTTATTTTATCACAATATAACAATTATATATTGTGGTAAAACATTCCTTCTTGTTTTATGAAGCTTTAGAAATATGTATGATACTATGAACAATTCAAAATTAACTTCAAGCTGACACTCTCATATAAACAAACTCCAATCCTTCAATGGCTAACTCTGGCTTGTTCATTTTCTTGATATTGTATTAAACTAATTCAGTGTATGCAGGTTGTGTTGACTTTTCAGATTCAGTGACGCAACACAGTCAGGCCAGAGAGTATGAGGGGTGATTTCCATGGATATTAGATTAGCTATTAAGTTTTGCTTTTCCACTGCAATAAATTATGAGTCCCGTAAGAGCTGAGCTTTGATTTTCAAATCGACATTTTCCTTTTTATTTTCTGCATTGCTTTTTTGTCTTGTATGAATAATGCACACAAGCTCATGTCTATGATGCTGGACTGTTGATAGGTTATGTAAAGGATTACCGCAGACCTGACAACCTTTCAATTGCATATTGATGGAATTCTATTATAGCAGCGAGACCATGAATTATGAAAGACAAAACATAAAATGTATTGATAAAGCATCCTGCCTCTATCGAGCCAGTTTAGCCACAGATAAACTCATGTCCTGAATTCAATCCATTGTTAAAAGTGTAATTCTTTCATGAAATCCTCAATGATTACAGATAAGCCATAAGGTCAACCGAGAAAGCCACATATTGAAAGATATTGACATATTTGAGCACTTCCTTTGTGAACAGGTGAGTCACTTCCTTAAAGAGATTGAGCTTTCTTTTTCCCAGAAGCTTTATGATTCAATGCATTTAGTTCAAGTGTTCTTTAGAGACCAAACGAAAAAGGACCACATTGCTTTTGTATCACAAGAACTAATATAAAAACACCTTGTTGACTCTAGATGCCAGATAGACCTGAACTTTCACAGTACCTCCATCTTAAATGAAAATACTTTTCTTACAGACAATTACGTGTCAATGTTGGACCCATAACTGTTATACACTTCTCTAAATTTTGCTTCAATCCAGTAAACATATATCTGCCAAAGAAACAAGTGCAAATGTCTACTAATGAAATTTACATTCAACATAAATTGAATGGAGTGTGCTCTCAGTTCTCAACATTTAAGGGTTTTTCACTTCAAACATCTCGTGATTCCATTCGCAAGACCTGGTGAATTTAAATGCAGGCTTTCTGTGAACTCTGCAAAAAGACCCAAAGCAGCAAAGCTCTGCGAACCAAGTACATTTACAGGAAAGCTTCAGTCACTGAAAGTCAGAACTGTAAAAAGATAACCAAAATAGAAGTGCAGCTCTCCTAACTGCAATAAACTGTAAAACATCTAAGCGGCACTTAAAAGCAACTGGGTGATTTCGCAAGCAAATCTTCTTTGAGTTTCATCTTGTTCTCGTGTGTTACAGTTGGCGGCTAATTTTGGTGCCACGTCTGCCATTCCGAGAGAGCGTGGATATGGAGGCATTTGAGAAAACGTGTCTCGCACATGCATAAATATACATTCGCACATGCACATGTGCACTGATGACTGTAGCTGTGGCTGCTTGGCTCTGGCCAGATGATGGTTCGGTCCAGCTCTCTGGACTGTTCTCTTCCACCACATACTGGCTGCCAGCCTGGCCTATCTACCTCTCACTCCGTGTCTGTCTGTGGGAGTGTGTGAAGAGGAGAGATAGGGCGAGAGAGAGCCGATCTCTGGGGTTCCGGACACTCCTGCTATCTTTAGGCACAATCTGGGCCGATGCAGGATTGGACAGAGCAGGCCAGAGAGTGATAAATGTTCACCAATGGCCCATGTGGCACTGCCAAGAGATGAGTTTACATCACAGTCTCATTACAACTCAGATACAAGGTTACTGGGACAACAAAGCAGCATCCAAAACACAATGATGGCGTCCAAATTTCACTGAACCGAGCGTGATGGAATCTAAAGGAAGTCAGATCTGGCGAGAGCCTTAACCCCAGTAGCCGTTGAGAAGGACGCGTCTTCTCCAATATTCAGATCGGTGCTCAGCTGATAAGGGTTTTTTGGTCATTTTTAAAAAATGATTACATTTGATTCCTCCAATCGTAAATATGGGATTACATTCTTGAAAACAGCATTACAGGAAGGCATTAGTGTTGCGACAATGGGGCTGGTGTGTGTCGTTTCCTTGTGTTTTCTAGAAAGTGAGAAGTTAACAAAATCATGTCTGTGGGACTTAATGAGAGCTGTGAAGTTTTAATGATAAAACTGTTAAAGGGATAGTTCACCAAATGAAAATTCTCATTTACTCACCGTCATGTCATTTATCAACAATCTGTATGCTTTACTTTCTTCCATGTACAGTAGCATACAAGAAGATATTTTGATGGGTTCAGTTGAAAGGTTCAGTAGTGCCCATGGCAAAAATCAACATAAAAGTAGTCCAATTAACTCCAAAAGCCATTTGTTAGCTTTATGTATATGTAAAAATTATTATATTATTATATATTATATTGAAGATCTTCTCCACTGCAACTCTCAAATCTCAAACATTTTCCTTGTCACACGCACACACATATATACAGTATAGTATATATATATATATATATATATATATATATATCAATCTCAAACGCACTACTACTTAAAAATTAAAGAAGAAAAATAAATAAATAAAATGTTTGTATCTGTTGCAAACTGGAATGGGATATTTTGTGGATTATGACTTAAATTTAGATCTGTTCTTAACACAATCTTATGTGTATGACTTTAGAACATTTAGAATGTAGTGCATGGATTATATGGACTTATTTTACAATACTTTTATGTTTTGTTTTGTTTGTTTGACAGCTGTGGTCACTATGAACTTTTGTCATTTTGAATATTTTTTTCTCTTTTTGTGTTTCAATGGAAAAATAACAGCATGTACACACTCAACAAAACAGTGAGGTGGCACACTTTTAGAAGGTACACCTTTGTACCTTACTTACCGCTAAAGCGTGCATTTACCTATTATTGCCTAAAAATGATACATATTAGTACATATGTGTACATATTACCACGTTTTAAAAGGGTAGTCCCAGAGACAGCTTTAGTACGTTATTTTTATTTATTTATGTATTTATTTTTTCCTGAGAGTGTAGTGTTTATTTATTTATTTATTTATTTTGTGAACTATTTCTTTTGCAGCTATTCTGCAGTGAGCACAATTTAATCTAAGGGAGGTTATTTGAACTATATATTACTGGAACACATCAGCAAAAATGTGATGTCACAAGTTGGCGTCTGGCGTGTCCTTATGTGTTTTCCAGAAAGTGAGAAGTTGACAAAATCATGCCCACGGGACTTAGTGAGAGCGGTGAAGTTTAAGAACTTCCATACTTTTTTCTTTATTTTGTGTGTGTGTTTGTTATGCAGCAGCCCCAAACTTGAGCCATGCTTAAAATTTCTGAATGTCATTGCATTAGAAAAAAAAACAACAACTATCAAACCAAGTGGCATTTGCAAGCAAGTGCTGACTTTTCTCAGAACTAACT